CTCCCCTACCCCACCGCAGCCCCTCCCCCATTTTTTGGTCTCACCCCCATTTACTCGGGGCCGGCCCCGCCAGATGTTTTATTTTGGGGTGGGGGAGGGGTACCAATCCAGATGTTGGGGGAGGAGGCGGGGCCTTGCCCAGATGTTTTTTTTGGGGGGGTCCCTCCCCTCCCCCCCCCGAGCAAGGCCCCATCCAGATGTTGGGGGCGCCAACCCCGGCCTGGGGAGGGGTCCCCGTCCAGATGTTGGGATCCTCGTCCAGATGTTGACGTCCCCATTCCAGATGTTGAGGTTCCCGATCCAATTTTTTTGGGGGGGGGCGGGGTGTCCCCACCCGGATCTGAAGGCCCCCGTTCCAGATGTTGGGGTTGTGGATCCAGATGTTGGGGTCTCCATTCCAGATGTTGGGGGGGTCTTCATTGAGATATCCGGCTCCCCGTTCCAGATGTTGGTGTCCCCGTTCCAGATGTTCATGTCCCCATTCCAGATGTTGTGGTCTCTCTCCCCAATGTCAGGGCTCCCCATCCAGATGTTGGTGTCCCCATTCCAGATGTTTGGGGTTTTCCAGCTCCCCATTCCAGATGTTGGGGTTTCCAACCCAGATGTTGGGGTCTCTCTCCCCAATTCCAAGGGTCCCCATCCAGATGTTTGGGGTTTCCAACCCAGATTTCACGATCCCCATCCAGATGTTGGCGTCGTGGATCCAGATGTTAGTGTCCCCGTTCCAGATGTTAGTGTCCCCATTCCAGATGTTGGGGTCTCCCCAATTTCAGGGGTCCCCATCCAGATGTTTGGGGTTCCCAACCCGGATTTCACGATCCCCGTTCCAGATGTTTGGGGTCTCCCCCCCAATTTCCGGCCCCCCCGTTCCAGATGTTGCCGTCCCTGCCCCACCCGGGAAAAAATGGGATTTTGGGGAAAATGGGGTTTGGGGGGGAAAATGGGATTTTGGGGGAAAAAATTGGGAGTTTTGGGGATAAATTTGGGAATTTTTTGGGGAAAAAAGGGAATTTTGGGGATAAATTTGGGGGTTTTGGGGGGAAAATGGGAATTTTGGGGGAAAAATTGGGAATTTTGGGATTGGATGGGAGAAAAATGGGAATTTTGGGAATAAATTTGGGAATTTTGGGGCAACAAAAGGGAATTTTGGGGATAAATTTGGGAATTTTGAGGATAAATTTGGGAATTTTTGGGGAAAAATGGGGAATTTTGGGGAAAAAAGGGAATTTTGGGATTGGATGGGAGAAAAATTGGAATTTTGGGGCAAAAAAGGGAATTTTGGGGAAAAACGGGGAAATTTGGGATTGGAAGTGGGGAAAATGGGAATTTTAGGGCTAAATTTGGGAATTTTTAGGAAAAATGGGAATTTTGGGGGTAAAATTCAGAATTTTGGGGGAAAAACGGGGAAATTTGGGATTGGAAGTGGGGAAAATGGGAATTTTGGGAATAAAGGGGGGATTTTGGGGATAAATAAGGGAATATTGGGGATCAAAGGGGAAATTTTGGGAATAAATGAGGGATTTTGGGATAAATGTGGGAATTTTGGGAAATAAATGTGGGAACTTTGGGATAAGCGTGGGAAATTTCGAGATAAATGTGGGAATTCTGGGGAAAAAAGGGGAAATTTGGGGATAAATGTTGGGATTTCTGGACAAAATGTGGGAATTTGGGGATAAAATGTGGGAATTTGGGGATAACTGTGGGAATTTGGGGATAACTGTGGGAATTTGGGGATAAAAGTTGGGATTTTGGGCTCAGGTGGGAATTCTCACCTGGCGGCCTCCTGGGAGCGCTGCAGGTGCTGCTGCAGGAGCCCCTCCCAGGCCTGCAGCTCCCCCTGGAACCTGCGGGGACAGGGGACACCGGGAGACAACAGGGGGGACACGGGGACAGGAGGGACATGGGGACAGGTGAGGGACAGGGGGGACAGGAGGGACACAGGGGAATGGGGGGACATGGGGACAGGTGAGGGACACAGGGGAATGGGGGGACATGGGGACAGGTGACAACAGGAGGGACACGGGGACAGGTGAGAGCCACAGGGGGATGGGGGGACACGGGCACAGGGGGACACGGGGGTGGGGGGGACAGGTGAGACAGGTGAGAGACAGGTGAGGACAAGGGGGGACAGGTGAGACAGGTGAGGGGGAGGGGGGAACATGGGGCGACAGGTGAGGGATGGGGGGACAGGAGGGGACAGGTGACAACAGGTAGGGACAGGTGAGGCACAGGTATCCCCAAATTCACTCCAGATCTGTCCTACATGTCCCCAAGGTTCTCCCTGGTGTCCCCAAGCTTGTCCCAGCTGTGTCCAGGCGTGTCCCTCCCTCCCCAGGTGTCCCCAAATTTGTCCCAGGTCCCCCCAGGTGTGTCTCAGGTGTGTCCCCAGGTGTGTCCCCAATGTCCCCAGGAGTGTCCCCAATGTCCCCAGGTGTGTCTCAGGTGTGCCCAGGTGTGTCCCAGGTGTGTCCCCAGGTGTGTCCCAGGTGTCCCCAGGTGTGTCCCCAATGTCCCCAGGTGTGTCCCAGGTGTCCTCAGGTGTGTCCCCAATGTCCCCAGGTGTCCCCAGGTGTGTCCCCAATGTCCCCAGGAGTGTCCCCAATGTCCCCAGATGTGTCCCCACTGTCCCCAGGTGTGTCCCCAGGTGTGTCCCAAATGTCCCCAGGTGTGTCTCAGGTGTGTCCCCAATGTCCCCAGGTGTGTCCCAAATGTCCCCAGGTGTCCCCAGGTGTGTCCCCAGGTGTCCCCAGGTGTGTCCCCAGGTGTGTCCCCACCTGGCCATGAGCACCTTCAACTGAGCCACGGATTCCTGCAGGGCTGGATCCAGGGAATCCCTGCAGGAAAAGACCCAAAATTCCCAAAAAAATCCCAAATTTTGGGGCAAATCCAGTGAAAATTCCCAAAAATCCAAAATTGCCAGGCGAATCCAGTGAAAATCCCCTAAAATTCCCAAATTTTGGGGCAAATCTAGAGGAAATGCACAAATTTTGGGGCAAATCCAACGAAAATTCCTAATATTCCAAAATTTCCAGGCAAATCCAGTGAAAATTCCCAAATTGTGAGGCAAATCTAGAGGAAATTCCCAAATTTTGGGGCAAATCCAGAGAAAATTCCCCAAAATAAAAAATTTCCAGGTGAATCCAGAGCAAATTCCCAAAAATTCCATGGGAAAAGTTCCCAGATTGCCTCAAAAATCAGCACCAAAATCCCAGGAGTTTTTGAGAAAATTCTGTGATTTTTGGGATTTCCATGGATGAAGCAGCCCCTGAAAATGTTAAAATTTACCAAAATCCTGGGAATTTACCCAAAAAATCCTGGAATTCTCCCAAAATCCTGGAATTCCTGGGCACTTCCAGGGCCTTAAAATCCCAAAGTTGCCCCAAAATCTCAGAATTTCCAAGGCTGGAAAAGCCCAAAATTCCCCCCAAATCCAACTTTTTTTGGGGATTTCCATGGATTTTTGCCCTTCCCAGGCTGGAAATTCCCAATTTTTGGGGTTTTTGCCTTATTGATTAATAATAAATTACTTAATAATTTATTCAATTTTTTTTTCATTTTCCTGTCTTTTTTTAACCAAAATTCCCATTTTTTTGGCAATCAGGAACCCCCAGGAGCTGCTCTAACCCTCCCCCAATCAATTACTGATTGTTGGTTAATTATTAATTCACTTTTCATTAATTTATTAAATAACTATTAATTTAATTCACATCCCTGTCTTTTTTTTTTTTAATAAAATTCCTGAATTTTTGAGCAATCAGGAAAACCCAGGACCCTTTTTAACCCCCCCAGGATTAATTATAAATTAATTCTTAATTAATTCCGCTGCTTTTTCCCCAAAAATCTCAAATTTTTGGGGTCTCCACCCATTTGGGGAGTTGGAAATTTGGGATTTTGAGAGGAAAATCCCAAATTTTGGGGATTTTGGGGGCTCCAATCCCAACCGTTGGCAGCGAAAACCTCGGGGTCGAAGCCTTCGGATTCCTCCAGGGCCTGCTGCAACTTCCGGGCAGAAAACTGGGGAAAAAATGGGAAAAAATGGGAAAAGTTCAACAAAAAATGGGAATTGTCCAACAAAAAATGGGAATTATCCAACAAAAAACAGGAAAAATTGGCTTTTATCCCGATTTTCTTGGGGTTAAAACAAAGATTTGGAGCCTAAACTCCTTTTTTTTGTGTGTTTGAGGAGTCTGGGAAAGGATTTTTTGGGGGGAAAATTCCGGGATTTTGGTAAATTCCAGGATTTTGGAGAATTTTAACAATTTCAGGAAGTGCTGCAGCTCTGGAAGTGCACCAAAATCTCAGGATTTGGGTAAATTCCAAGATTTTTGAGGCAATTCCATGATTTTTGTGAATTTTGTGACTCTCAGGAGCTGCTCCATCCATGGAAATGCCAAAAAATTCCAGGATTTTGGTGAATTCCAGGATTTTGGTTAATTTTAGGATTTTTCAGGAGCTGCTCAAGCCCTGGAAGGAGCAAAAAATTCCAGAATTTTGGGTGAATTTACCTGGAAGCTGGAGAGGAGGAGGAGGGAGAGACGTTGGACTTCAGGAAGCTCCAGGCTGATGGATTTGCTCAAATCTGGGAAAAAAAAGGGTTAAAAATGGTGAAATTCCCAAAAAAATCAGCTGGAATTTGGCCCAGAATTCCCCCAAAAGCAGCTGGGGCAGGGCAGGGTGTGGGAAAAGCAGGAAAAAAAGGAAGGAAAATCAAATTTAAGGAGGAAAATGGGGAAAAGGAAGAGGAAAAATTGAATTTAAGGGGGAAGTTGGGGAAAAATAGAGAGAAAAAGGAACAAAAGTGGGGGGATAATGGGGGGAAAATTGAATTTAAGGTCAAGAATGGGGTAAAATAGGGAAAAAATCCCATTTAAGGGACAAGAATAGAGAAAATTGGAAAAGGGAAAAGTCACATTTAAGGATTGGGGGGGGAATGAGGAAAAAAAGTCAAATTTAAGGGTGAAAAATGGGGAAAATGGAAAGAAAAAATTAACAGGGATCAAAAATGGGGGGGAAATAGGAAAAAAAGTCCCATTTAAGGGTCAAAAATGGGAAAAAATAAAGGGAAAAGTCACATTTAAGGACCAAGAGGGGGGAAATGGGAAGAGGAAAGGGGCAAAATCACATTTAAAGGATAAAAAACGGGGGAATGGGAAAAAGAGGGAGGAAAGTCTAATTTAAGGATCAAGAATGGGGAAAATAAGAAAAACTCCCATTTTTAAGGGGAAAATCAGGAAAAAGAAGAGGAAAAATCATCACATTTGAGGGGAAAAGTGGGAAAAGAAAGAGGAAAAATCCCATTTTGGGAGGGGGGGAAATCAGGAAAAGAAAGAGGAAAAGTCACATTTAAGGGGAAAGTCAGGAAAAGAAAGAGGAGAAATCCCATTTAGGGGGCAAAAATGGGAAAAGAAAGAGGGAAAGTCCCATTTAAGAGGAAAATCAGGACAAGAAAAAGAAAAAAAATCACATTTGGGGGGAAAATGGGAAAAGAAAGAGGAAAAATCCCATTTGAGGGGGGGAATGGGAAATGGAAGAGAAAAAATTCCATTTAGGAGGGAAAATGGGAAAAGAAAGAGGAAAAACCACATTTAGTGGGGGGAAATGGGAAAAGAAAGAGGAAAAATCCCATTTTGGGGGGAAAATGGGAAAAGAAAGAGGAAAAATCCCATTTTGGGGGGAAAATGGGAAAAGAAAGAGGAAAAATCCCATTTTGGGGGGAAATGGGAAAATCACATTTGGGGGGGGAGAAATGGGAAAAGAAAGAGGAAAAAAACCATTTGGGGGGGGAAATGGGAAAATCCCATTTAGGGGGGAAAATGGGAAAATCACATTTAGGGTGGAAAATGGGAAAAAGAAAAGGAAAAATCCCATTCAGGGGGAAATGGGAAAAGGGAAAAGAAAGAGGAAAAAACAAAATTGGGGGGGGAAATGGGAAAAGAAAGAGGAAAAAACCAAATTTAATGGGGGGAAATGGGAAAAGAAAGAGGAAAAATCCCATTTTGGGGGGAAAATGGGAAAAGAAAGAGGAAAAATCACATTTTGGGGGGGGGGGAAATGGGAAAAGAGGAAAAATCCCATTTAGGGAGGGGGAAATGGGAAAATCCCAACTGGGGGGGAAATGGGAAAATCACATTTAGGGGAGGAATGGGAAAAGAAAGAGGAAAAATCCCATTTTGGGGGGAAAATGGGAAAAGAAAGAGGAAAAATCCCATTTTGGGGGGAAAATGGGAAAAGGGAAAATCCCACATAGGGAGGGGAAATGGGAAAAAGAAGAGGAAAAATCCCATTTAGGGGGAAATGGGAAAAGGGAAAAGAAAGAGGAAAAAACAAAATTGGGGGGGGGGGGGGAAGGGAAAAGGGGAAAAAACCAAATTTAATGGGGGGAAATGGGAAAAGAAAGAGGAAAAATCCCATTTTGGGGGGAAAATGGGAAAAGAAAGAGGAAAAACCACATTTAGTGGGGGGAAATGGGAAAAGAAAGAGGAAAAATCCCATTTTGGGGGGAAAATGGGAAAAGAAAGAGGAAAAACCACATTTAGTGGGGGGAAATGGGAAAAGAAAGAGGAAAAATCCCATTTTGGGGGGAAAATGGGAAAAGAAAGAGGAAAAATCACATTTTGGGGGGGGGGGAAATGGGAAAAGAGGAAAAATCCCATTTAAGGAGAAAACCTGGGAAAAAAAGAATGCCCAAAAGAGGAAAAAAAGACAGAACCTTCAAACTCCTCACTGACAGAAGGCTCAGCTCAGCACCCCCAGCTCTCCTCACCCCCCCCAGGATGGATTTTAATGAAACCCGCGCTAACGAAGGCACGAACCGCGCAGCTCCTGGTGCACGGGGGGCAACGATTTGCGGCGGGAGCGGCGGCCCTGGAGGCTGGAGCGGCGCCAGGAGCGGCGCTGGCGGCCCTGGGGGCTGGCGACCCCTCAGCATCCGCTGCTGAGTCCAGGTCTGAGGGGATAAGACGGGAAATCAGCACAAAGAAGGGAAAAAGAGACTCGGTGATGCTCGGGCTGCGCTGCCTGCTCGGGATTTCTTGGGTCCATGAGAATAAATGGTTTTATCAAGGACTTCACAGTGCTGAACGTGGCTTTTGTGGTTTTATTTTTAAGCGGGAGTTTAGCCAGATCCTGGCGTTTTTAGGGTTTTCAGGGATGGAGCAGCTCCTGAAAATCCTGGAACGTTTGGGCACTTCCAGGGCCTTAAAATCCCAAAGTTGTCCCCGAATCCTGTAATTTTCTAGGCTGGAAAAAGCCCAAAATTCCCCCAAATCCAACTTTTTGGCTCGCCACCTCCCAAGCCCCAAAATCACCCGAAGCAGCTCCTCCCTCCACACAGAGCAGCGATTTCTTTCCCTGCCCTTACCTGCCGCGGCCCCTCCGCTCTGTGGTAGGTCCAACCCATGAGCGATGTCCGGCGAGAAGTTTGGTAAAGCAACTTTCCCATTAATAAGCTAAATTAATTAAGAAAAATTTCCTATAGAAATTTCCTATAGAATTCCCTATAGAAAATTCCAATACAGAGATCATCCAATTACAATAGGGGGGGTTTAATTCATCTAGAACAGAAATCCCAGCGTAAAAAACCGCACAGAAATGAAAATAAATCCATTTTTTTCTGCTGCAAAACTGGAGACAAACGCCAAGACTTTTTTTTTTCCTTCTTCTTCAGGTTCTTGGTGTAAAATCCAAGTTTTTCCTTAAAAAAAATGGCATTTTCTGAGGCAAAATGAAGTTATAAATAATCCCGAGTCGGCGCTGAGAGGTAGAGGTGTCGCTGCCATCACAATCTATTGGCTTGTTCTGAGGTAATTAATTCATTGCGAGTCAATCATTCTATCGGCCCGTGATTAATTAACGTTAATTGACCTCTCTCCTCTCAAAAAGGTCCTTTTAATTAAGAAATCTTTAATTGGAGGCGTCGCTGCCCGGGTCGGCGGCGGGGGAGGTGATGGACGAGGGGGTGGCGGCGTCCTGCCAGCTGCCATTGGCCTGAGGGGGCAGAAAATGTAATTAATTCATATTAATTGGCATTAAATCATCAAGAAATTACCTGTAGATGGCATTATAGGGCATTGTGTGTTTGGAGGTGAGGGTGGTTTTAAAAGGAAAGAGCAGAGTGCGTTGATATCCCAAAAAAATCTTATTTTTCTTTTACTTGTATATTTATAATTTAATGTAAACATAATATAAATTAGTATATTATAATAATTAATGCATTAATATATAATATAAATAATTCTAATTTCTATATAATTTTAATATATCTATATAAATATAATAAGATAAATGTATACTTTTATTTTGTGCTTAATATTGATTTATCATGCCAAATACCTTTTAAAATATTAAGTATATGTCTGTAATTTATACATTTAAATCTAAATTTACACACTTAATTTAATGTATATTAATAGCAATAATAATTATTTGTAATATAAATTAAAATATATGTTATATATTTAAAATATATAACATATATTTATATATGTTATGTGAATTTAAAAATAAGTTTATAAGTAAATAATATAATTATTGCTATAATAATAAAAATTTTACAATATATATAAATTGTTAAATAATTTATATAAAATTTATCTAATAATTTTTATATAAATCTGTGTTAATGTATATACATTCGAGTTATAAATTAAATATAAAATAATATTACATATGCTAAAAGCTTTAAAGATTTGAAACACGATCAATAAATTCAATTTTTCCAGCTTTTTCCCCTCATCCCAACATCGACCACATTGGGGGAAATTTTAAAAATTACAATAAAAATTATAAAAAATTAAAATAAACTCAAAATAAAAATTAAAATACATGTAAAAAAATGCAATTTATTGAGAATATTTAGGAATTAAACCCCAGCTGACCTCGAGGCGCTGCGTGGAGAACAAAGGGCTCCCCACGAGGGGCTCGAACCTCCCCGGCTGCTGCAGGACGTGCTGCAGGGAATCCAGCTGAAAAACCAGAAAAATGGGAAAAAAAGTCCAAAATAACGTTAAAAAACGAATTTAAAAATTCCCAAAATGGGAATTTGTCAGGTAGAGTTCCCGTGGGAATAAAGGATTGGAGTGAGAGGAGGGATTGGAGAATTTGGTAAAAAAAATTAGGGAATTTTAATAAGAATTTTAGTGGGAATTTCAAGTGGGAGTAGGGGATTTGTGGAGTTAATAATAAGAATTTCAATTTCAATATTAAATTTCAATTTAATAATTGAATGAGAAATTCAAAGTTTCAATAGGAATTTTACAGGGAATTTCAGTGAGAATTTCACCGAGAATTTCAAAATTTAATGAAGAATTGAATCCCTAATTCCAACAGGAATTTCAGTGAGAATTTCACTCCTGATTTTAATTAATTAATTTAATTTCACCAATAATTTCAGAATTTAATGAAGAATTTAATCCCTGATTCCAACAGGAATTTCAGATTTGCAGCAGGAATTTCAGTGAGAAATTCAAAATTTACAAATAATTTCAGAATTTAATAAATTAATACATTTCAGAATTTAATTAAGAATTTTACTCAAAATTTCAGATTTTCAGTGAGAATTTCACAATTTAATGAAGAATTTCACTCCTAATCCCACCAGGAATTTCAGATTTTTAGTAAAACCAGCAATTTAAACAATCCCAAACCTTTAAACACCCCTTAAAATTGAAATAATAATCTGGAAGCATCAATTCCTCTGGGATCCAGGGCAGAAATTTGGATTTTTCCCCATTTTTCCTCTGGAATTCCAGAACAGAAATTTGGATTTTTTTCCCCATTTTTATCTCTGGGATCCAGGGCAGAAATTTGAATTTTTTTCCCATTTTTCCTCTGGGATCCAGGACAGAAATTTGGATTTTTTTCCTCTGAATTCCAGAACAGAAATTTGGATTTTTTTCCCCATTTTTATCTCTGGGATCCAGGGCAGAAATTTGAATTTTTTCCCATTTTTCCTCTGGAATTCCAGGACAGAAATTTGGATTTTTTTTCCTCTGAAATCCAGAAAAAAAATTTGAATTTTTTCCCATTTTTCCTCTGAATTCCAGGGCAGAAATTTGGATTTTTCCCGTTTTTCCTCACCTGGGGCTGCGCGCTGGGAGGGCTCTGGTAGGAAACCAAGGGCTGCAAATTGAGGAAAGAATCCCCAGAATTCGTCATCTTAAATGACCCAGAGGAAGCTGAAAAAACAACAAAAAAACCCCAAAAAATTAAATTAAAATGGAGAATTTTAATGGGTGATAAATGCACCCAAAATGGTTCTTTAGAAGGGATAAAAATGGAATTAAAAGGGGATAAAAAAGGGAATAAATGGAATTAAAAGGGGCTAAAAAGGGGAATAAATGGAATAAAAAAGGGGATAAAAAAGGGAATAAGAAGGATTTTTAAAGGGAATAAAATTGAATAAAACAGGAAATAAAAAGAAAAAAATAAATATAAATGCGGTAAATAGAAATAAAATTAAATATAATGGAAATAAAATTAAATATAAAGGAAATAAACTGAAATAAAGGAAATAAATGGGAAGAAACAGAAATAAAATTAAATATATAGAAAATAAACAGAAATAAATGGAAATAAGGTGCAATAAAAGGACGTTAAAGGAAATAAATGGAATTAAACTGAAATAAAAATGAGTATGAAGGGAATAAATGGAAATAAATAGAAATAAACAGAAATAGAAGGACATTAAAAGTAAAATAAAGGAAATAAATGGAAATGAAGGCAAATAAACAGAAAAAAATTACATTATAAATAAATAAAATGAAATAAAAAGGAAATAAATGGAAATAAAATTAAACTAAATAAAGTGAATTAAACCAAAATAAAATAGGAAAAATCCCAAAAAAAACCAAAATTAAACCAAAATAAAGAAGAATAACAACTCCCACAGTGCTCCCAGCGGCTCATTAATTACCCTGGGTTAATTAGCAATCCCAGCCCACTCACCGGAGTTGGGCGGGGAGGGGGAGGGGCCCTGGTAGCCAAAATAAACCAAAATTAAATAAAATTAAACCAAAATAAAAATGAAAAACAACTCCCACAGTGCTCCCAGCAGCCAGAACTGCAGCTCATTAATTATCCTGGGTTAATTAGCAATCCCAGTCCGCTCATCAGAGTTGGGTGAGGAGGGGGAGGGGCCCTGGTGGCCAAAATAAACCAAAATACACCAAAATTAAACCAAAATAAAGAAGAATAACAACTCCCACAGTGCTCCCAGCGGCTCATTAATTACCCTGGGTTAATTAGCAATCCCAGCCCGCTCACCGGAGCTGGGCGAGCAGGGGGAGTGTCCCCCGTGTCCCTGCTGGTGGCCCTGGTGGTGCCCCCAGTGTCCTTGGTCGTGTTCCCTGTGTCCCTGCTGTCCCCAGCGCTGAATCCCAGCAGCTCATTAATTACCCGGGGTTAATTAGCAATCCCAGCCCGCTCACCGGAGATGGGCCGCACTGTCCCCAGCGCTGGCTCCCAGCAGCTCATTAATTACCCGGGGTTAATTACCTATCCCAGCCCGCTCACCGGAGCTGGGCGAGGAGGGGGAGCGTCCCCTGTGTCCCTGCTGTCCCCCGTGTCCCTGGTGGTGGCCCTGGTGTCCCCAATGTCCCCATGGTCTCTGCTGTCCCATGGGCTGCACTGTCCCCAGGGCTGGCTCCCAGCAGCTCATTAATTACCGGGGTTAATTACCCATTCCAGCCCGCTCACCGGAGTTGGGCGAGCAGGGGGAGTGTCCCCCGTGTCCCTGCTGTCCCCCGTGGCCCTGGTGGCCCTGCTGGTGGCCCTGGTGTCCCGTGGGCAGTGCACTGTCCCCAGCGCTGGCTCCCAGCAGCTCATTAATTACCCGGGGTTAATTACCCATCCCAGCCTGCTCACCGGAGTTGGGCGAGGAGGGGGAGTGTCCCCCGTGTCCCTGCTGTCCCCCGTGGCCCTGGTGGCCCTGCTGGTGGCCCTGGTGGCCGTGGTGGCCGTCCCCAGCCCTGGCCGTGTAGATGCTGGCCTCCTCCTGGAACTTGCCCATGTTCTTCTTGTAGCGGATGCGCTTGTTCCCGAACCAGTTGGAAACCTGGCAAAGGGAAAATCCGGCAGGAATGGCGTGTTTGAAACATTTTAATTAAAAAAAATAACAATTTTTTCTTTGTAGGGGATAAAATTTACACCAAAATCCCGGGAATTGGCACCAAAATCCCAAAATTTGCCCCAAAATCCAGAGAAATCGGCCCAAAATCCAGGGAAATTGGTCCAAAATCCTGGGACTTTGCCCCAAAGCACCAAAACCCCGGAAATTGGCACCAAAATCCTGGGACTTTGCCCCAAATCTTGGGAATTTACCCAAAATCCCAGGAAATTTCCCCAAAATCTTGGGATATTGCCCTAAAATCCCAGGAATTTGCCCCAAAATCCAGGGAATTTTCCCAAAAATCCCAGGAATTTTTCCCAAATCCAGGGAATTGGCCCCAAAATCCCGTGAATTTGCCTGAAGTCCCGCGAATTTACTCCAAATCCTGGAATTTGCCCCAAATCCATGTAATTTTCCCAGGAATTTTCCCCAAATCTTGGGAATTGCCTGCAAAATCCCAGGAATTTCCCCCTAAACCTCAGGATTTTTCCCCCGAAAATCTCTGGAATTTGCCCCAAATCTGGGGAATTTTCCCAAAAATCCCAGGAATTTGCCCCAAAATTTGGGGAATTTCCCCCAAATGTCCGTATTTTTCCCCAAATCCTGGGAATTGGCCCCGCTGTGCCCACCTGGGAGACGCTGATGCCGCCCTGGCGCGCCAGCTCCTCCTTGGCCTCCTCGCTGGGGTAGGGATTGCTCAGGTGCGAGTAGAAATACGCGTTCAGCACCTCCGTGGCCTGCCGGCTGAAATTGCGCCGCTTCCGCCTGGAAATGGGGGAAAAGCAGAATATTTGGGTTAAAAATGGGGAAAAATCCATTTATTTCAGGTTAAAATGGGGATTTGGGGAGTGAAAATGGGGAATAAATCAAATTATTGAGGGGTTAAATGGGGTTTGGAGGGTGAAAATGGTGAATAATTCAAATTATTTGAGGTTAAAATGGGGAAAAATCCAATTATTGGGGGGTTAAAGGGGGTTTAGAAATGCGCGTTCAGCACCTCCGTGGCCTGCCGGCTGAAATTGCGCCGCTTCCGCCTGGAAATGGGGGAAAATCAGAATATTTGGGTTAAAAATGGGGAAAAATTCATTTATTTCAGGTTAAAATGGGGAATAAATCCAATTATTGGGGGGTTAAAGGGGGTTTAGAAATACACGTTCAGCACCTCCGTGGCCTGTGGCTGAAATTGCGCCGCTTCCGCCTGGAAATTCAAATTATTGGGGGAAAAATGGGGAAAATTCATGTTTGGGCGGTGAAAATGGGGAATAAATCCATTTATTAATTATTGAGGGGTTAAATGGGGTCTGGAGGGTGAAAATCTGAAATAAATCAAATTATTGAAGGGTTAAAGAGGGTTTGGAGGGTGAAAATGGGGAATAAATCCATTTATTTCAGGTTAAAATGGGGAATAAATCCAATTATTGGGGGGTTAAAGGGGGTTTAGAAATACACGTTCAGCACCTCCGTGGCCTGTGGCTGAAATTGCGCCGCTTCCGCCTGGAAATTCAAATTATTGGGGGAAAAATGGGGAAAATTCATTTATTTCAGGTGAAAATGGGGAATAAATCCATTTATTTCAGGTTAAAATGGGGTTTGGGGGGTGAAAATGGGGAATAAATCAAATTATTGAGGGGTTAAATGGGGTCTGGAGAGGGAAAATCTGAAATAAATCCAATTATTGAGGGGTTAAATGGGGTTTGGAGGGTGAAAATGGGGAATAAATCCAATTATTGAAGAGTTAAAGAGGGTTTGGAGGGTGAAAATGGGGAATAAATCCAATTATTGGGGGGTTAAAGGGGGTTTAGAAATGCGCGTTCAGCTCCTCCGTGGCCTGCCGGCTGAAATTGCGCCGCTTCCGCCTGGAAATTCAAATTACTGGGGGAAAAATTCATTTATTTCAGGTTAAAATGGGGAATAAATCCATTTATTTCAGGTTAAAATGGGTTTGGGGGTGAAAATAGGGAATAAATCAAATTATTTCGGGGATAAAGGGGCTTTGCAGAGTGAAAATCTGAAATAAATCAAAACATTGCAGGGTTAAAGGGGGACTTGGAGGGTGAAAATGGGGAATAAATCCATTTATTTGTAATCCAATGGAGTAAATACGATTTTTTCCCCATCAAAATCCACATCCCAACCAAAAATATCTACATTTTCCCATCAAATATCCACATTTTTCCACCAAATATCTGTATTTTTTTACCTGTTTGAGGAATTTTCTCTTAAAATTCCCTCACCTGGCCTGGAGGAACCTGGAGCTGAGTTTCACGAGGCCTCGCAGGAGCTCGGCTTGAGCTGAGCTCACCATGGGTGATGCCCACCAAAAATCTCCCCATTTTTCCCCAAATATCCATATTTTTCACCAAATCTCCATATTTTTCCACCAAAATGCAACCATTGAAGGAATTTTTTCCCAAATTGTCTCACCTGGCGTGGAGGAACCTGGACCTGAGAATCACGACGGCCTCGCAGGAGCTCTGCTTGAGCTGAGCTCACCGTGGGTGATGGCCACCAAAAATCTCCCCATTTTTCCCCAAATATCCACATTTTTCACCAAATCTTCACATTTTTCCACCAAAATGCAACCATTGAAGGAATTTTTTCCCAAATTGTCTCACCTGGAGTGGAGGAACCTGGAGCTGAGTTTCGCAACAGCGTCACAGGAGCTCTGCTTGAGCTGAGCTCACCATGGTTGACACCCACCCAAAAATACCCAAATTTTTCAGCAAATATTCACATTTTTTCACCAAATCTTCACATTTTTCCACCAAAATGCAACCATTGAAGGAATTTTTTCCCAAATTGTCTCGCCTGGAGTGGAGGACCCTGGACCTGAGTTTCACGAGGGCCTCGCAGGAGCTCTGCCTGAGCCGAGCTCACCGTGGTTTACACCCACCCAAAAATATCTAAGTTTTTCACCAAATCTCCACATTTTTCCACCAAATATCCACATTTTTCCACCTGTTTGAGGAATTTTCTCTCAAAATTCCCTCACAGGCATGGAGGAACCTGGACCTGAAGATCATGACAGCCTCGCAGGAGCTCGGCTTGAGCTGAGCTCACCGTGGGTGATGCCCACCAAAAATCTCCCCATTTTTCCCCAAATATCCACATTTTTCACCAAATATTCACATTTTTCCACCAAAATGCAACCATTGAAGGAATTTTTTCCCAAATTGTCTCACCTGGCGTGGAGGAACCTGGAGCTGAGTTTCACGAGGGCCTCACAGGAGCTCTGCTTGAGCCGAGCTCACCATGGTTGACACCCACCCAAAAATATCCACATTTTTCACCAAATATCCACATTTTTCCCCAAATATCCACATTTTTCCATCAAATATCCACATTTTTCCACCTGTTTGAGAAATTTTCTCTCAAAATTCCCTCACCTGGCCTGGAGGAACCTGGAGCTGAGTTTCATGAGGCCTCGCAGGAGCTCGGCTTGAGCTGAGCTCACCGTGGGTGATGCCCACCAAAAATCTCCCCATTTTTCACCAAATATCCACATTTTTCACCAAATATTCACATTTTTCCACCAAAATGCAACCATTGAAGGAATTTTTTCCCAAATTGTCTCACCTGGCGTGGAGGAACCTGGACCTGAGTTTCACGAGGGCCTCGCAGGAGCTCGGCTTGAGCTGAGCTCACTGTGGTTGACACCCACCCAAAAATACCCAAATTTTTCACCAAATGTCCACATTTTCCATCAAATATCCACATTTTTACCCCAAAACCCAACCATTGAAGGAATTTTTTCTCAAATTGTCTCACCTGGAATGGAGGAACCTGGAACTGAGTTTCACGAGGCCTCGCAGGAGCTCTGCTTGAGCTGAGCTCACCATTTTTGATGCCCACCAAAAATCTCCACATTTTTTCACCAAATCTTCACATTTTTCACCAAATATTCACATTTTCCATCCAAAAATCCACATTTTCCCACCCATTGGAGGAACTTCTTCCCAAATTGTCTCACCTGGAGTGGAGGAACCTGGAGCTGAGTTTCACGAGGGCCTCGCAGGAGCTCTGCTTGAGCCGAGCTCATCGTGGTTGACACCCACCCAAAAATACCCAAATTTTTCACAAATCTCCACATTTTTCACCAAATATTCACATTTTTCCATCAAAAATCCACATTTTCCCACCCATTGGAGGAACTTCTTCCCAAATTGTCTCACCTGGAGTGGAGGAACCTGGAGCTGAGTTTCACGAGGGCCTCGCAGGAGCTCTGCTTGAGCTGAGCTTGCCGTGGTTGGCACCCACCCAAAAATACCCAATTTTTTCCCCAAATCTGCACATTTTCCCCCAAAAGGGGCTCACCTGGCGTCGAGGAAGCGGGAGCGGAGGACCATGAGGGCCTCGCAGGTGCTCTGCTTGAGCTGCAGCTGGATGGAGCTGAACTTGCCGTGGATGAGGCGCAGTTTAGGGTGGAAAATAGGGAAAAATAGGGAAAAAATGGGGAAAAAATGGGGAAAAATGGGGGATTTAGGGGAAAAAATGGGGGATTTAGGGTGGAAAATAGGGAAAAATAGGGAAAAAATGGGGAAAAATGGGGAAAAATGTGGGATTTAGGGGAAAAAATGTGGGATTTAGGGGAAAAATTGGGGATTTAGCGGGAAAATGGGGGAAAATGGGGGATTTCAGGGGGAAAATGGGGGATTTGCGGGGCAAAATGGGAAAAAAATGGGGGATTTAGGGGGAAAATGAGGGATTTAGGGGGAAAAATGGGGGATTTAGGGGGAAATAGGGAAAATCCCCTAAATCCCCTTCAATTTTTCCTTAATCCCTTGGGTTTTCCTCTTCAAATCCCTTTAATTTTCCCCTTAATCCCATTTAATTTTCCCTTTAATTCCCTTGGATTTTCCTCTTCAAATCCCCTTAAATGTTTTCCTCTTCAAATCCCTTTAATTTCCCTCTTAATCCCATTTAATTTCCCCTTTCATTCCCTTCGATTTTTCCTTAAATTCCTTTCAATTTTTTCCTAAATTCCCTTGGATTTTCCTCTTCAAATCCTTTTAATTTTCCCCTTAATCCCATTTAATTTCCCCTTTAATTCCCTTGGATTTTTCCTTAAATCCCCTTCAATTTTTTCCTTAATTCCCTTGGATTTTCCCTTAAATCCCCTTCAATTTTTTCCTAAATTCCCTTGGATTTTCCTCTTCAAACCCCTTTAATTTCCCCTTTAATTTCCCTTTTAGCCCCACTCCCCCTCCACCCCTCCCACCCCAAAACCGCCCAAAATCCCCCCAAAAAAACCCCAAATTTTCTCCCTGGGATCACCTGGTCGTACTTGTCCAGCTCGGCGTGGAAGATGTGCCGGATCTGCGCCAGCTTGGCGCGGTAGTCGGCGTGCTCCGCGCCGAGCTCGTGCCCGCAGCCCCCCGGCGCCGCCGCCGCGCCTTTCCCGGCTCCTTCCGCCGCTTTTTGGGGTGAATCCGCGGGTTTTTGGGGGGCTTTGGGGGGCGCGGCGGCGGCCACGCCCTCGGCCAGCAGCATGTTGTCCAGGCGCAGCAGCTGCGCGTCCGGGGGCTCCTCCTCGGCAGCGCCGCGCACGCTCAGGGCTATGAGGGAAAATGGGGGGGAAATGAGGGGAAAATGGGGCGAAAATGAGGGGAAAAAAGAAGAGGAATGGGGAAAATGGGGGAAAAATGAGGGAAAATGGGGGGAAATAGGGGGAAAATGAGGGAAAAATGGGGAGAAATAGGGGAAAAAGGGGGGGAAAGGGGGGGAAATGGGGAAAAAAGGAGGGGATAATGGGGGAAATGAGGGGGAAATGGGGGGAAAATGAGGGAAAAGTGGGGGGAAAAAGGTTGGGAAATGGGAGAAAATGAGGGGAAAATGGCAAAAAATGAGGGGGAAAAAAAGGAGGGAAAAAATGAGGGAAAATGGCAGGAAAATTGAGAAAAAAGGAGGGAAAATTACAGAAAATGGGGAAAAATATTGGAATCATCTGCCCAGGGAGGTGGTGGAGTCACCATGCCTGGATGTGTTTAAAAAAAGACTGGATGTGGCACTTGATGCCATGATCTGGTTGAGGTGTTAGAACATTGGTTGGACTTGATGATCTTAAAGGTCTCTTCCAACCTAGAAATTCTGTGATTCTCTGAAATTTCTGGATTTGTAGAGCAAAACCTCTGACTTTCCAGGTTCCAGAGGGAATTTCCTAAAAAAAAACTCCCAAATCCTGGAATTTTTCCATAAAACAACCCCCAAATTTCATTTTTCTCCCTTAAAAATGCCCCCCCAAAAAAATCAAATTTCATTTTAACATTTCTTTAAAGAAACTTTTAATGGAGAATCAGTGAGGGAAAATTGGGATAAAGTGGAATGGGGGGGAAATTGAGGAGAAAAAGAGGGATTTGAGGGAAAAATGAAAATAAAAAGGCGAAATCCAGACCTGTTTTTTCCTTGATTTCACAGAGGACGCTGAAGAGGGCTGGCTTCATCCTGTGGCAGTTCAGGGCATGTTTCCTGCAAAAAACATGGAAAATCAGCCCCAAAATCCATGGAAAAAACCCCAAATTGAGGTCACGTTGCGGGGAGAGCAGGTGAGTGAGGAAAATCCTGGAAAAAATGGGAAAATCCAGGGGGAAAAGGGAAATTTGGGGTTTTTTTTTGGGTTTAATCTCAATTTTCTGGAAGGAAAAGTCCCAGTTTTTCAGAATTTTGGGGCTAAATTCCACAATAAACAACAGGGAAAATCCACTGGATGCAAAATCCACCTCAAAATCTCTTTTTTTACTGATTTTGAACCCTTTTTTACCTCAGAAAAATCCATTTGTAGCTGAATTTAATGGATTTTTTTAAAATATCTAGTCCCCAAATTCCCCAGTTTTCCAGGGTTTGGGCCCAAATTCCATCGGGAAAAATCCTCTGTAGAAAGCCCCTCAAAAATCCCCTCTTTTTTGCTGCTTTTTAGTCCTTTTTCCCCTCAGAAAATCCATTAAAAATCCACTTTTCTCTCATTTTCCCAGCAAATCCCGATTTTCCCGCCCTGCCGAATCGGGGCCACTCCCAGCTCCCCAAAAACCACGGAATGTGGGAAAACACCCCAAAAAAGCCCAATTTTTGTAGGATTTGAGGCATTTCCCTCCCGAAGCAGCAGCTAATGAGGCGTTCATTACCCGCACTTAATTAAAGAATCCACAACCCGCCAAAATCCTGGAATTCTGCTCATTCCCAGTGCGGGTTTTCCCTAAAACTCAGGAATTCCTGGGGGGAGATGGAGGATTTATTCCAAATTATCCCAAAGTGGGGGGTCCCACCATGTCCTGGCCAAAATTCCAGCCCCAAACAGCTCCAGTTTTCCCATTCCTGGGGTTTTTTGCCCCATTCCCAGTGGCGTTTTCCTCATTTTTCAGTGGGATTTTCCCCCAATCCTGGCGTTTTCCCCAATTGTGGCATTTTTTCCTCCATTCCCGAGGTTTTCCTCATTTCCAGTGGGTTTTTTCCCATTTTCAATGTTTTTTCCTCCCATTCCCAGTGGATTTCCACCATTTTCAGTGAGTTTTGTCCCATTCCCAGTGGAATTTTTCCCATTCCCGTGGTTTTTTTTCCTCATTTTCAGCAGTTTTGCCCCATTTCCAGTCGGATTTTCCCCTTTCCCAATGTTTTTTTTTCACATTCACAGTGATTTTTGTCCCATTTCTGGGTTTTTTCCCACATTCCCAGTGGTTTTTGTCCCATTCCTGGGTTTCTTCCCACATTCCTGAGGGGTTTTCCCCATTCCCAGCAGTTCTGCCTGGGATTGTCCTGCCTGACCCCACAGGGAATGGGGTAAAACTGCTGGGAATCGGGTAAAAAACCCCGGAATGGGAGAAATCCAACAGGGAATGGGGTAAAATCCCTGGAAATGGGGGAAATCCCACAGGGAATGGGGTAAAATCCACGGAAAATGGGGGAAACCCAAAGGCAACGGGGTAAAATCCACCAAAAATGGGGGAAACTACCAGGAATGAGAGGAAAGCTGCTGGGAATGGGGCAAAACCACTGGGAATGGGGGAAAAACACTGGGAATGGGGAAAAACCACTGGGAATGGGGTAAAATCCACAGAAATGGGGCAAAACCACTGGGAATGGGGCAAAACCCATGGGGAATGAGGTAAAAACACTGGGAATGGGGCAAAAACATTGGGAATGGGGGGAAACCCGCTGGGAATGGGGCAAAACCCCTGAGAATGGAGTAAAAGCACCCAGCAATGGGGTAAAAGCACCCGGCAATGGGGCAGAAACACTGGGAATGGGACAAAAGCGATGGGAATGGGGCAAACTCCCGGCAATGGGGTAAAACCACCGGGCAATGGGGCAAAACCGTGTGGAAATGAGGGGGGAACCCCACAGGGAATGGGGCAAATCCGCTGGGAATGGGGCAAAACGCCCGTGAATTGCCCCCAGAGCGGGAAGGACGCGGGGAAGAAGCGGCAGCACCGGCCGGGATGCGGGGCCCTGAGCGGAGCGGGAAAGCCGGGAATAGCGGCGAAGTTTCCCTCACAAACCCCTCCCTCGGTGTCCCCTCAGTGTCCCCGCGGTGTCCCCTCAGTGTCCCCGCGGTGGCCCCGCGGTGTCCCCGCGCTGAGTCACGGCCGTGCCGCTGTCCCCGGTCCCCGTGGCCGGTGTCGCCTCCCCGTACCTGGCCTGGGCCTCATCCAAGCTCTGGTCGGTGATGGCCATGATCTGCTGCAGGACGTCGCCGCTGTCGTGCTGCGGCGGCGCCGCTGCTGGCCCTGAGGGCGGCCCTGAGGGTGGCCCTGAGGGTGGCGGGTCGCCGCTGGTGGCGGCGGCGGGGGGAGGCGCCGGCGAAAGAGACCCCGGCAGGGCCACCCCGGGCACCAACCGCGGCGCGGCCTCCATGGGCGGGCCTGGAGCCGCGGGGCCGGCGCGACAGGGCGCGACAGAGCGCGACAAATCGCGACAGATCGCGACAGGAGCCGCGCCGAGCCGGCGGCCACAGAGCCGCCCCCCCCCCGCGCTGCCGCCGCTGTGGTCACGCCCAGCCCTGGCCACGCCCTCCTCCCGCCGCGCCCAGAGAAGGCCACGCCCCTTCATGAGGGGACGCCCTTCCCGCCTTTGCGTTTAGCCACGCCCACAGGTGAAACCACGCCCCTTCAGGAGGGGACGAATATTCCCGCCAACGCTGTGACCACGCCCCTATGTGACCACGCCCTCTCTGAATGTTATCCCGCCCAATTGTGGCCACGCCCCCTATCTGACCACGCCTTCAGAATCGCCATTTCCGTCCTTTCGACTCCGCCCAAACGTCACGGTGTCTCCATGGCAACCGTAGCCACGCCCCCTCGCATTAGACCACGCCTCCTCCCCGAGGCCACACCCCCGCAGCTCTCGATTTTCCCTTTTTCCACCCAAAAATTTGGGAATTTTTTGTGCCCACAGCTCTGTTTTGGGTAATTTCGAAGCTCCGGGGTTGAATCCCAACAAAGCAGAGCTCTGATCCCATTTTTGGGATAAAAACAGAGGGAAAAATGAAGGAATTAAAGGGAAAAATGAAAGAATTTGATGGGAAAAAAAAAAGGAATTAAAGGAAAAATTAAAGAATTAAAGGCAAAATGAAGGAATTGCAGCTTAAAAATTCCCACTGGGAACAATTCCAGTTTTGGAGGAATCTCGGGCTCCAGGTTTGGGGTGTTTAACCTCATTTTTGCCTGGAAAAATCCCATGAAATCCAGAAAAAATCCTGTTTAATCCAAGGAATTCTGCAGCCAAGGTGGGAAAAGTCACGTGGTTCCACTCCAGGGATCCCTGGGAATTCCCAGAACTTGCGGGGGAAAAAAGGATGGAAAATTTGGGGTTTTTTCAGCATTCCCAAATCCTGGGATTTGTGGAATTTTCAGGGCAAATTCTGCCCTCGGAATCCCCAAATCCCGGAGGATTTTGGAGCCTTTTCCAGGGAAATTCCAGCCCTCGGAATTCCCAAATCCCGCTCCCAGAATTCCCAACCCCCTCCTGGAAGATTCCTGAGCTTTTCCCAAGGAAAAACGACTCCGGGTTAAAACCAGTCTTTAATGGGAATTCTGCTCCCACGGTTTCCCTAAAAACCTGGAATTTTCCAGGGAAAAATCCAAGCTGGAGCCCACCAGGAATCCGAGGTTCTCCCAAATCCCACAAAACCGCCTCGTTCTTGAGATTTCCAGGGAAATTTGGATGTTAGAACCTCCCAGGACTCCAAAACTCTTCTCATTCCTTGATCCACCAGGAGTTTTCCAAGAAATTTTGATGTTGGAGCCCACCAGGAATCCAAAGTTTTCTCAAATCCCCACAAAACCGCCTCGTTCTTGACACCCCAGATGATGATGATGACCAACCCAATTAACCCCTAATTACCCCTAACGAGCCACCCACCCAGGACGATGGTGACGGTCTTGCCAGCACGGTGTTGCGGTGCTGTGGGTACTCGCCCCGTTACTCCTTAATTAATGGCTAATTAACCACCCACTGAGGATGATGACCAACTCATCAAGGGCGATGGTGACCAACCCACCGAGGATGATGGTGACTAACCCAATTAACCCCTAACGAACCACCCACCCAGGATGATGGTGACGGTCTTGACCAGCGCCAGCACGGTGGTGCACCGCTGTTACCCCTTAATTAATGGCTAATTAACTGCTAAATCACCACCCACTGAGAATGGTGACCAACCCACCCACCCCGGATGGTGACCAACCCAATTAACCCCTAACAAGTCACCCACCCAGGATGGTGACCAACCCAAT